TCCAGAAACCGGCGACTGATCTGCCTCGCCCGGGAAGAGCGCAATGATGATACCAACTTGGGCCAGTGAAGCAACGTCCTCCACAACTAAACTGAAGAACAAGAGGACAGCAACTTGTCTGTTCCCCTTCCCCCAATTCCCCAGTGCTGTTCCCATACCCCAATTCCCCAATTCCAAAAAAAAAATCTTTAAAAACAAAAAATAAAGGATAAATACATTATCTGATATCACAAGTAGCAGTCTCAAATATGATAAGACATATATTTTTAAAATGTGATTATCTCAACCTAGTCTGTTTAATAGAAACTGCTAATTACTGGTATTTTAGAAAATACAGATTTTGTTATTGAGGCACTTTAAGTAGTTTAAGAAAAGTGCATTAACCCATACAAGGCACAACAGTTTAAATATAGTCTTAAGAGTTTTACAGACTATCCCCCAAAGCCCATTTCCATGGACTATATGTTAAGTAAAATCATAGGAATATGGACTCCACTAACTTATAATTCAGATATAGTATACATATAAGACTTATATTGAGTAAAAAGTTTGAAATAATATGTTCTTTTGTGAATATTGGAGGCTCTTATTTTGTTTTATTTTATGAAAGGTTCAAAAAATTAAAGATTCCTTAATATGCCCTCAAAAGACTGCTCTGGCAAGTCTGATATTTACCATGATCCTCTGATATGCAGTGTGGTGTGGCCAACTATGAATTAAAATGCTTTCTTAAACGTATTTCATTTTATCTATTGACATCATTTTTCTATCCTTGCTCTAACATGTACTACATCAGAATGGAAGAACATGCTATCTCTTTAAATCATTTATGATATACCTGGAAGCACAATGAAGAACTGGAAATGGAAGTCTAATCTAATACCCATGTGACTTTGGCCAAGGCACTTATTAAACTCTCTTGTGTCTGATTTTTCTCCTCTGTAACACAGAGATGATAATACATACCAACCCTCACAGAAACATCAATAGGATAAAATAAGAATATATATAAAGCATTAATTTGTTTTCAATTTTTAAAAAATTATAATTTGGATTTTTAAAAATAAAGATTGGCCTTCCCTCAAATATTCTGAATTAGTAAGGAACAGATCTTAAGCCCAAGCTTACTTGGCTATCTTCTCAGATTAAGTTTTTAGCTTTTAATTAAGACATGCTACTGTGCCAATCTTAACTGATGGTAGCTGAGGTTACAATCTTGTTGGAATACTTCCTCCAAATCCAAGTTATTTTAATGTAAGCAACACAAAAAAATTTACATGAATGTGAAGATTGTGAACATTGTGATAATTTACTTCAACTTACTCTTTTTTCCTACGACCATGAAAAAAACTGGCCCATTCAAAGCATGTCTTTTTGCTTCCAACCCAAAAAATGGAGGGAATACCAACAATGAGAGCCATTAGGTATTTCATCAGAAAGAGAATCAGGTCTGGACGACTCATCTGAGTGACCTATAAGAAGGAAAAGAAAAATATCTTAAATATATAAAAAGAACTTTCTATTAAAGGCCATTATAAAATCTCTTAAATAAATAATAGTAAAATAATTCTACAAATTTGATGTTTTCATTTCTACAGTTCTATAGTTAATTTCCTAGCTATATAGAAAAGATACACTCCTGGGCCGGCCTAGTGGCGCGTTGGTTAAGAGCTGGCTTGGGACGCCAGAGGGCCCCGGTTCAGATCCCACATATGAGGGCCAGTGATACTGCCCTCTACAGCTAAGATGCTGAACAACAGCTCAACCTGGAGCTGGGCTGCCATGAGTCGCCAGCGACAGTGTAGGCTGCAGCACCTGCTGCAGTGGGTTGCCATGGGCTACTGTGTGTAGCCAGCAGCCGCAGTGAGCGGCAGTACAGAAGCCGGCGACTGATTTGCCTCACGCAGGAAGAGCGCAATGATGGCCCCAAGTTGGACCCGTGAAGCAACTTCCTCCACAACTAGACTGAAGAACAAAACGACAGCAACTTGTCTGTTCCCCTTCCCCCAATTCCCCAGCGCTGTTCTCATCTCCCAATTCCCTAATAAAAATCTTAAAAAAAAAAAGATACACTCCTGAAAATCTGACAGTAAATTTATAATCTATACTTTGAGTCCTATATTTTTATTAGCTCACACTGGATACCTTTTATTTTTATTTTTTAATTTTTTAGCTGAGCCATCCTGCCACCTGTTGGCAGCTCAGCGGCAGCTCAGCTCTGGTCGGGAATCAAACCGCTGTTGGCTCAGAGCTTGCACTCTTGAGCCACTCGGCCAGCCCTGAATGCCTTTTAAAGAAAAAGATTATTAATGTTGAAATAAACCATTAATAGGAATAGAGGCTCAAGTAATACCTCTATTCTTAGGTCAATTTTGCTAGTCCTATCATTGGTCTTCACAATAAAAAACTAGGGAAGTATTAATCTTGCCCACCCATTTTATTAATTTCTGTTAACTTTAATATGCCCTTCCTTTTACCTACTTCATCTTTACTCTGCTTGCTCTTTTCAAGCATCCTCTTTAACCCATGAATTATTTATAAGTGTGTTTTCTAGTTTCTAGTCAGATGAGTTTTTCAAAAATTTCTTTTTATTGCTGGTTTCAAGTTTAATTATTATGGTCAGAGAATGTGGTCTATAGCATCTGGTTACCTTAAAGTTTGGAGACCTTTTTTGATTCAGGACACTTTGTAAGTATTCTTTGTGTGCTCGAAAATAGTGCATATTCTCTATTTGTTGGGTACAGAATTTTCTATATGTATTAGATCAGCTTTATTAGTTGTGTTGTTCAAATCTTCCCTATATTCTTAACTGAGTTTCTGTTTACCTATCCATTTTAATAGAGGTATGCTCTCACATAACTGTGAACTCGTCAGTTATCCTTCTAATCCTGCCAGTTTTCATTTTCAGGCCTATGTGAGGTGTTATGTAAATTCAATAATGCTCTAGCTGCTCATTTTACTTTATTAATGCTCTTCACCTTAAGCTGTATTTTATCTAAGATTAATATTGTCACATCAGCTTTTCACTTCATCACATCAGCATATTTTCCAGGTGTATCTTTTCCTATTTACCAATGTATTTCTTTCAAGTCTGTCTGTCCGGGTTATACCACTTCTTTTAAGCAGTATAGTTTACTCCCATGAAAATGTAAACTCCATGAAGAGGCTTCCCCCTACCACCACTATTTTATACCCAGAGCCTAGACCATTTCCTGGCACCTAGTAGGTGATCAACACACACATATGTACATACATACATTTAAAATATATACTTATACAGCTGATACACAACTTTCTGGTATACAATCTTGTAATACTTACAAAAAATTTTAAATTGTACACCATTTGATCCAGAAATTCTATCTCAACAAATATATCCTAAAGAAATAATAAGTCAATAATAGGGAATTGTTTAAATAAGTTATGCTACATCCAAATAATCAAATAAGGAGCCACTCAAAAATAATAAAGTGAAAAAAGGAAGACAGAGACAGTAGTGGGCTAGTAAATATTTAACAGCTGGCTTTCTGGATGGAGGAAAGCCCTGGTTTCCAATTATGCCAATTTCTGTCATGTAAACACACCAACCATGGCTATTTTCAAGCTACCAAGGTGAAATCACTAAATATGAAGTCATGAAGAGATGTGCTCAATTGTCACTTGTGAGCCTCTGTGAGCCAGTAAATCTAGTGCACTAATAGACGTAGACTAACGTGTCGAATACGATCGCATTTATCTTTAAAATTATATGTAATATCTATAACATTATTTATACATAGCTCAGCTAAGATTGCTGGAAAAGGCGGAAGTAGGCTGGGGATCTCTCTCTCCCTCCTTCCCTCCCCTTTCCATACAGCATATTACTAGCTTGGGGTTCCACACATCTTGTGGTTTCAGAGCAGTCTGACTTACTAAAGGCTGGCTTCTCCCAGAGCAAGCAGTCTAAGAGGACTTGGAGTCATTATCTCCAAAGAGTAGCTACCAAAATGTTAGAAAAATATACAGAAAAGAGTAAATAGTGATTATATTGTTGGGGAGACATGTTTTTCCTCTGAACATGTCTTACAATAATTTTTTTCTTGATATTTTGGAATATTTAAAAGTGGAAAAAACTATATATATATATATATATATATGTATATGTATATAATCTACATTTACAAAGCATATTTAACCAGGAACATTTTTACAATATTAGTAGAATGCCAAAAGCTCATGTGATACAACATAAATAGATTATGGTAGACACATCAATAAATGTTCTACAAATTAATTGCTCTAAGAAATTATCAAAAATTATATTCACATTTAACATATAGCATATAGTGAATATCATATGTAAAGCTATCTAGTGATCAACTAGACAGAAAACATGAATTATAAATGAATCAATATCCAAGACTTACTTTCTGCATTTACACATACACACACACACACACACACACACACACACACAAAACACACACACACACCCCGTCCTGTGACTTTCTTACATTGTTATAACACGTCACTTCTTAAAGACAGATTTTTTCACATAATATGAAGAACAAATATGTGTTAGCATATAAAATAAGTTGAAACATGTAAAGTACTTAGAACTGTGCTTGACACCTAATAAATGCTCGAACATGTGGTACATGGAGCACTACTGTCCCAGAAGAAACTAAAGGTAATCCATAAACAAAGGTAATCCAGGGAGAGAAGGGAGACAATCAGCATTCATTGTGAGCCCTATATCTTGATTGTTGTCCTTTTTCTACAACAGCCTGGCTAACGATGAACAGCGCACATTCTATCATCTGAACAACTGAGCTCCATTGACACCACTCTAATTTTAATCAACAGAATTTTGCAATACAGTTTTATTCAATCACAATATGGAAAATATTTTCCCGTGTTTTGTTTTTCCAACTTACATCCATAATCCATCAACAACCCTGGGGCTTAAATTCTTTTTATTACATAGAAAAAAATTATTCAAGCTAAAAGGAAAAAAAGCATTGCAAAAACAGAAAACCACCAAAGGCATATTTATGGTTATTGTCATGGTCTAAATTTAATTCTTATTTCTGAGACTTTAGCTTTGAATCAAGTTGGCGGAGTCCTTGGCTTCTTTCCCAATCATGCAGAATCTATACTAATGGAGATACATATTGTATTAGGTTTGTTTTCATTTAAAAAAATAGATTAATTACAAAAATGTTGACTTATATTGAGCCTGTGGTCATCTAAACCTTTATAAACTATTGTATCAGACTCATGCAGAGTCTGTCGTGTTGATAAGTGACAACAGTTCTAGAATGGAGGTCTTGATTCCGATTTTTTTGCACTTATTACACTACATTGTTTTATCTGCCTTTACTTTTATTCTGCTTTGAAGTCACCTACTTACCCTATCAGATATAAAGAGCTAGCATAATGCTACAGTAATGAAGACAATGCTAGAAGATTAAGCAAGGGCAGAAAACAGAGCATGGAAAAGGACATTGAAATAAGTTTCACACATGGAAAACTGATATATAACAGAAGTTAGCATTACAGATCAGTGGAGAAAGGATGCACTAGTCATTAAATGGTGCCAACTGGATATCTACATATTTTAAAAATGTACTCCCCCTCACACCAGATATGAAAATCTATAGATTAAAAACTCACACCTGAAAAGCAGAATTTTAAAACTGCAAAATAAAAGAATATTTTTATGACCTTGAAGTAGAGATTTCTTAGATACAATTTAAAAAAATAAAAATAAAAAGATGGATAAACAATACATAAATTTTTACAAATTTTGCTCCTCAAAGGGCATGATTAAAAACGTGAAAAGCCAGGACCGGTCGAGTGGCTCGGTTGGTTAAGAGCTCACTCAAGAGTGCGAACTCTGAGCAACAGTGGTTTGATTCCCGCCCAAGCGGAGCTGCCCCAGAGCTGCCAACAGGTGGCAGGATGGCTCAGCTAAAATAATAATAATAATAAATAATAAATAAATAATAAAAAAGTGAAAAGCCAAGCTAGATATATGTAATGCATAAAACTGACAAAGAATATATGTGTGTCTATTTTTGTGTGTGTATAAACAAGCAATTCACAGAAAAGTAAATCTAAAATAGCTAATAAACATGAGAACAGAAGTTCAATCTCACTAGCTAACAATCACGGAAATAGAAATTAAAATAGCAATGACGACTACCAATAAGATTAGCAAAAATTTAAAAGTCTGATGATACCAAGTAATGATGAGGATGTAGAATGAGAAAACTGTACTTTCATATGGGGTTCTAAATTGCTTCAACAGCTTTGGAAAGCAATTTGGCAACATCTAATAAAGTTGAAGGTTCATGTATTTTAGGACCCAACAACTCCATTTTTAGGTATATATTACAGAGAAAATCACCTGGATGCATAAAAATATTCATAGCAGCATTATTTATATTAGAGGAAAAACAAGGTACAACCTAAATATTCATTAAGAGTA